TTTTTTTTTTTTTGGTCTTAGGTTTGGTTTGGTGAGTGGTTGATCTGGAACTGTATCTAGAATGACAAAGACGCTTCTTTCTTTTTGTACACTAATAAAGAACATGTTTTAGGATCTCACCACAAACCAAAGTGAACTAAGCAGTTAGAAATACAATGAAATTCATTGCTATGGCCTTAAACAAGCAAGCCCTTAGTAGTTGAAATTCTTGAAATCGAACCAACAACAATGCAGTAAACATTACTGATATTAGAACACAACTGGATAACTTGATGAGTTGAAAAACAAGAGGCTTGATGAGTTGAAAAACAAGAGGCACAAGCACTACGATCACAAACTCCCATGCCTATTTACCCTAACAAACAGCAAACAAACCTAGAAAGACAAACTTAAGCCCTCTCGCCCCTGATCCTGCGAGCCAGCTGGATGTCCTTGGGCATGATCGTCACCCTCTTGGTGTGGATGGCGCACAGGTTGGTGTCCTCCAACAGTCCGACGAGGTAAGCGCCGCCACGGCCGAGCTCTGGAACCTCAGATCCGTCTTGAAGTCCTGCGCGATCTCGGGATGGTGAAATTATTTGAGCCGTTCCATTTTGATTTTTTTTTTTTTTTCACATCTTCGAGAAAATGGTTTTTAGAAATCGATATCCATCCTCAAACGCAAAATTCTTCCCAATGTGACTGCAAAATTTTTTCTCCCATGGCAAAATTGTCCAATATGTTTAAATAATTACTTTTTTATTGGTACAAAAGCACTAAAGAAATTCCTAAAGTAAGAAACTTAATAACTTATATCTATATAATTGAACATTATTCTCCATGCTCATGATACAGTTGATGATCATTGGTTTAGAAAGGATGTGTACTCATGATGAATGAGGTAGTTTACTTAGTTCCAGAATAGACACTTTTTATTAACATATTTAGCAATTTATCCACTTTTAATTCTCCAATACACAATATTATTAGAAATATAGTGACGAGGTAGACATAATTAATGTCTACAATGTAAAGAAGAATGTGGTTCATCCACATTCTAATTCACATTCTACTCAACCAATGAAGAGAGGAAAGAGAAATATTATTAACATTTTTAAAATATCTAATTATATAATTCATTTTCTTTTATATTTATAAATTTTTTATTTTGGCCAAGTGGACAATATTGTGATTTACTATATTGTCCATTTGAGACAATTTTTTAGAATTAAAGTTGTGAACCTAATAATTATCTTATGTGGTTCGCAATCCATCTAATTAATTGACATTTGTAAAAAATTATAAAATAATAACATTAATGCATTGAAGATGCTCTAATGGCCGAAAATTGCGTCAGCGGTTGACGCACTAACTCGTACATAGAGAACTAATGTCCAATATCCTCCATATATATAATTCCCGAATGCGCTGAGCCTACGTGGCTGCTTCTGGTGCTTCAGAATCCTACTTGGCGAAGAATCATATTTCGTAATTAGGTTTGGACAAATAATATTAATATATTAATAATTAATAATCTAGGTTTGGACATTCTATAAATATTATTTAGTTAACTTAGGTATTTTAATATCATTGTACTAATATAACCATTTAATTCCTTGTAATTTTACATAATGAGACACTAAGTGACTAATATATCCCTGACTTTTGATTTGTTTCCTTCAATTAACTATTGAATTGTAAATATATTTTAAAAGTTG